TTGCCTGCCATACCTGTTTACTGTAATAACATTTACCTTTAGCTTTTTTTAAAAAGTAAAAGAACAAAAAAAGCACAAAAGCAAAATGCTGATAGAAAGGACATTTTATGATGCAACTTCCCCTCCCCTGTCACTTTCTGCCTTTCTCTTTTATCATCTCTCACTCACTTGTTTAATGGGACAGGGAACTTGTTCTTGGGGAAATAATAATGTTGAAAAAAGTCCATTAAAGATTCTTGCCCATCTGATGTTTAGAGGAACGATGACAGGTAATGTCTTGTCTCTGACAGTTTGGTGGTAGACAAGAAAAATTGGAAATGCTGATTCAGAATGGTATTATTTGATCTTTGTTAAGGCTTTGGCCTGGCTTTTTTCCCTGTTTTTATCTGGTAGAGCTATATGCCTCTCTGACTTTGCCACATCCCAAATGTTAATTCAGATGGACACATACCTTTGCAGTGAGAGTTCTGCCTGCAAATCCTTTAGGAAGGTTAAACCTAAAGACTATTTTAACAATAGAAAGTGCGGAGGAAAGAGATCATTAAGAATATACCATGTAAGAATACAGTGAAAGTTATTCAAATCATTAAATAGTTTGTATTTCTGAGCCTTTGGCTATTGTTGTCTCATGATTATTCTAACATTGACAGTGAAAGGTAATTGTAAGAAAGGGGTGTAGCTTATGTTAACACTTGAAAACACTGCTTTCAAACTGTCCATATACAAATGTCAAGTTTTGATGAGTTTAGAAGGCTGCATAAACCATCCTGTGTGCTCTAAACAATAAGAATTGCTTGCCTCTTTCTCTGTAAGAATTAGCTGGCACGATGCAATGGCTTAATATGCTTCCATCTATACAGAAAGAATAAAGAAGCAAAGAATACTTTATATTTTTCATTCATTGTCTTTCAGCAAGTATGTACTTTAGAATATTCAAATGACTCGCTTTATTGTTAGTTATGATGATGTGTGTTAGAATGAATGTGTATTCAGGAAAAAGGCAGTAGTGAAAGGAAAGTTTTAACCCGCAATTATATTTTGCTGCCTCACAAATTAAGTGGAAATTTGGTATAAATTGTTGGTATGAAATCTCTTATTAATCTTACAGGCCTGATATCCATATCAATCAGCAACTAATAAGTGCTTTTTAAATTTTACTTTAGATCTTTATTGCTTTTAATAAACTGCAAAGTCACTGTAACGTAGTTTGTGTATGTATACTTATATATATATAGTATGTATTATATAGTCTTAGTTCTTTGATAATTTAAAATATTTTTAATGAATTTTGGGGGCAAATATTTGGTGGCTGTCTGCGTTTCTTTGTGGTGGATATATTGCTGGCTAAAAATTTCTTTCCTGGAAATAGTTGAGATGTGCATGAGATTATATGAGAATGAATATTAAAATGTGTGTCTCTGAGAAATTAAAGAAGTGTTTCTAAAATAAGATGATCAGGTATGGGTATTCTTGCAGTTAGCTTATGTGCCTTCTCCTTGCTGCCACTCAAATGAATTGTTTTTGCCCTGTTGTCTTTTAAGTAGATTTCTCACGGTGATATCAGAGATTCTGGTGTTGAATATATCATGAGTCATTTGATTAAAATAGTGCTACTTAAGATTTGTTCTCATCAAAACTGCTGAGAGTCCTCATCATTCTGTCAGTCCTTTTCAGATTTCTGAAGAAACAATTTGTACCATGGTGAAGCTTTATGTTGCAAATTATTTTATGATAACACTAGTTTCTAGAGATTTCCTTACACCTATTACACTTACCAGATAATTTTCTCCTGTGCTGTATGTAAAGCTGTAGTATGTTAACATACTGCTAGCATTCTGCCACTTAAGATGCATTATTGTATGTTTTTATGAAGTGTGGTTAAAGATGTAGGTAGCCAAGTGTTAAAATCTAGGGGCTTTTGTTTAATTTACTGTAGCTTAACTTAATGTGCTTCAACATTTCTGATAAAACTGTTGTTTCCTGGGAACCTAAGAAAACTTCTGCTGGGAAACATGAAGGAAACGGAACTTCCTTGTACCTCTCTGAAAAGCCCAATGTTAAGCTCCAGCTGAAGATGGGTGAAAACTAGGGTTGCTCCCTTAAGGAGTTGAGAAATGCAAGCTAAGGCCATTCTCCACACTGTTTTTGTTGCGTATTAGTAGAATGCAGAAGTGTTACCTACATTTTTTGAGAAGTAACTCCTTAAGATGTAAATGCTACTTTTGTAAGTAGCGTTCTTAAACCAATGCTCTTGGTAGTAGAGGTCTGTTTTTCAGATGCTGAAAATAATGTAACATCCAATATTGGACTAATAGGGTGATAACATTAAAATCATGATATGTATAACAGTATTAATGTGGTCACAATATTATGGTCTGTACAACTTTGATTCAGATCACTTGTGTCTGTACATCATGACAGGATTTATGGCCCATGCCTGTTTTACTGAAGTAATCTGTTTACATCTATGGTTATCCATTTCTTGAAGATCAATTGGCAACTATTGAGTCTGATTTACACATACTTGAGATCTCATAACTACAGTTAAGGTTGTGAAATGCTATATAATACTTACCCTGGACAATCTTTTTCAAAATGTTATCTCACGTTTATCTCCCCAAAATAGAAAGATATGTTTACAACTAACCTGTTCTGATTCTGTTTGCGATTCTTCACAGACATGTTGTGAAAACCCGTTTTATGAAAACTCTGGGAATAATAGGTTCTGTAAAGAGGGCAAGCGCATGATTCCTTAGGGTGTGATGAGTCAGGTAAAGAACTGAGCATTACATGAGCACTATCACGTTTGTACACTGAATGAAGCCCAACTCAGCTGTAGGAAAAAAACCTGCATGTCACTTGATAACTTAAAACTGTTTATTACCTGTCTGGTAACTCCAGGTTTTCCCCAGTTTTCATGTAATTCCTTACTGGGAGCAGTGTATGCTATGTAGCGTTTCTAAAGACTAACTAAATTTGAGCGTCTTGCATTGGGACAGTATACCCTGGCTAGTGTATTTACAGTATTGAGATACTTGAGCATTCTCTTTGAGAAAGTAATGTGAAGATTAAATCATAGGGGTTGGACAAAACACCCAGCTGGTTCAGTTTTCCGTCTCTCATGATGCCTTAAGGAGACCCTACAAGAACATAGAGAGGCATGCAATGATGGCTTCCTTAGTGAACCTGTAGCAGCCTGCAGTTTGGGGTCTGCCTGAGCCAGAGATTCTCTTCTGTGTTCCTCTCCCTCAAGGATTTATGTAATCTCTTTGAACTCATCTAGGACATCTGCACTGTAATGTAACAGTAGTTCCATAACCTAACCACATATTTGTGTGTTTTGGGCAGTTTGTATTTGTGATGCCTAATGATTTCATTTATTACCTTTACTTATTTCTACAAATAATGAAAAAATGTTCTTTACCTTCATACAATTTTTGATTTTTAACTCAAGAAAAGAGACAGGAGAGGGGAGAGACCGAAATAGCGTGCATCACTCAAGATACAAGCACACAAAGATTTCATACCACAGCATCAGGGATTGCTGGGTTTGTGCTGGAGGTTTGGGGGATTGTACATTTGTGTCATTTTCCCCCTTCAATACTTTCCTTGAAGTTCTAACATTCTATTTGCTTCTTGGATTACCACTGGTGTTTTCTCATAGGGTTGTCTGTGGTAACTCCAGGTATCTTCCCCCCGCCCGCCCCCTCCATTATAACACTATGCACAATTAATTATTATCTTACTTCATGTGGATTACTCCTTTACCTGCTTGGAATTTTATCTGCCATTTTATTTTTCAGGTGCTTAACATTTTGATACTGTGATACAGTTTTCAGCAGTCAGCTTTGATTTCTGTTGTAGTGGATAATTTACTAAACCAAGAAAATCAGCTTCCTCACTGTTCATATAGGACTGAATCAGGCAGGGTGAATTCTTGTGGTGACCTCTTTTCAGTGAAAAAAGCTGAATTTTTTTTGTTCTTAACCTTTTTGGGGTTTTTGTGCTAATATGCATCTTCATTGTTGAGTGATTGTTTCGTGTCTTTAAGACCCTTTTTTAAGGGAACTTGAAAAATCTAAAGGAGTCAACCATATCATTCTCCTTCCTCCGGATTCCTTTGAGCAATTATTAATAGAAATAGTTATCATCTACAAAAGTAACACTATTTTTTTCACATAATATCCTCTTTGTGTATCTACTAATTCTAATCTTTGCTGTTTCTACAGATTTGCCTAGTAGAGGTATCAAATTTACTTGTGTAAGTTCCCAGGAGCTTTTTTATTTTTTTTTTTATAGAGTCCACATTTACTACTTAATACTCCAGGATGGAGTGTATTTTTAACCAAATATGTAAACAGAACACCTAGATTCAATAATTTAAAACTCTGGAAAGACTACCTTTTGGTCCTGGTGACTATGTGTTTTACTGTTTGTGTTCAGAAAACTTTCTTTTTGAGAGAATTCCTCTAACTTATTCTCATTTAAGTCCACTGTGGGAAACTCAAAGTTTCTATGTACTAAATACAGATGGGAAGAGTTCATTGGTTTTTCTATGGGTTTTTGGAACTTCAGTGGTATAAAGCCAGTAATGAAAGCATATAAGTTGTGCCAGTATGGGCAAATTATTTTGAGGACAAAAAAATAGCAACTCTTTTACTCCAATCTCTTGATAAATTCTAGGTGTGGCAGTTTTAGGTTATTACAAAGGAAGAAATTGTGAGCTTTTAAAATTGTTTTTAAATACTGAAACTGTGATTGTTTTTCACACTCTTGCTGTGTTCAGTCACTAAGCTCATTTGGTTGAAATTTTGCTCAGAAAGGTTCCGTCTGAAACAAAAGTGTTCTGTAAGATTTTAGCCTGAATAGTTACTGTTTTCCATAATAATGAGTAGTTGAAATAATAACGATATCGGCCAGACCTGTAGTACAAGTAGATGACTGTTATGTGTTTTTGTTTTGTGTTTTTTTTTTTTCTTCCCCACTTTTTCTTTTTTAAGCCTACGGAAAAGTGTTCCTAGTAAGGAAAGTAAGCGGCCATGATGCTGGAAAGCTGTATGCCATGAAAGTACTGAAGAAAGCAACAATAGTTCAAAAGGCCAAAACAACTGAACACACAAGGACAGAACGACAAGTGTTGGAGCACATTAGGCAATCACCATTTTTGGTCACATTACATTATGCCTTCCAGACAGATACAAAGCTTCATCTCATTTTAGGTGAGTAGTTTTCAGGATTCAAGTCTTATGTTAATGAAAAAAAAAAAAGTGCCCTTTTATCTCCTTAATGTATTGTAGGGTTTTTTCATGTGGTCTTAAGTACTGTGTGTTTGGAGGTTGGATGAGAGACCTAGGAAGTAAAATACTGTTCATCTTCCAACAGTGTCTGTGTGGTTTTCCTGTTTGAACCTGTGTGCTACTCTGACTTAACTGGGGGTGGCAGGGGGGAGTATTATCTGTGACTGACTTACAGCAAAAAATGTATACGACAGTAAGTACCTAAACCTGAAAAATACTTTCTTGACCTTACCTAGAAGATGAAGTTTTGATTTGCCCTTTTTTAACCATTATTACATACTGCATTAGTTTTCTGCAGATTTTTAGACAAACTGCTACCATGAATGAAAAAGGTCTTATCTTTATGAATATGAGCATTAAAGTGATTCAGTTTATTTTCTCTGCATACTGCCTTTGTGTATGTGGCACAGAGGTTATTGGTAAGGTGGGATGACAAAACATAATTTTTTTTTTTAAATTAGGATTAGTTGGTTGGAAAGAAGAAAAAAGTAAGGAAGTATTTAAGCAGCAGAAAGCCTTCTAGTTGAAATAATACTGCACACTTCACTATTAAGAACATGTATATTGTCCTCGATGTGATCAGTGTTTTTGAAGTGTTGTCATCTGTCTGAGAGGTACTGTGTGGACCAATTAGTACACTGTGTTAGCACTGAAATGCTGCAAACTGAAAGATTGTATCAGGCAGGTCTTTTTTTATGAACAAATGCACTCGTAATGTGGGTGATGCCAGTTAAAGGTGATTGTGCCTTTATTTCTGGTCAAGTTCCTCACAACACTGGAATCTACAAGTTGTTAGTACAGTTTCCTGCTGTAAAATGCTGGTGAAAATACTTGTATTGTGGATCAGTTTCTTGTTTTATGCATTGTGATACTTCATTTTGGTAAGTTCTACCAGTAACTTTTGTAAATCTCCATTTACAAGAGATGCTTGATAATGAACTATTGTATAGCAAGCCTTATTAGAACATTCTTCATTCCACTTCTGTTCTTGACATTTTACTTTCCATTTTGATGTGAAGAACCACATCTATTTCTGTAGTATTTGCAAGGTTGGCAGAAGACTGGTCAGGTGCTTTCTTAGGGTTTTCAACTCTGATATAACTTCTGTATGTGCCTGTCTCTCTATTCCTTACCTCTATCCATTTTCAGGACAGTAATGTTTTAGGGAAGTATTCCTTCTGCTTTATTCCCCAGTTTCATTGCCTTTGAAGAGTCCTGTCTTTCTCAGGAAGATGAAGGATTTTTTCCTGGTAATGAGGGACATGTTAATACTCTCTTCCAGTTCCTGGAATAAATCAGCTTTAAACTTTACTGCTTCAAGAAACACTTGCTGTGAAAACTTTTTGTTTTCAAACCATTTGGTTGTTGAGTATTAATACACTTGCATGTTTCAATTTTTGGGTGTTAAGAGGCAATCCAAAATCCCATATTTCTGTGCTGAAGGCAGAGCTTGTTCATGAGGCTTGGTACCACTCTAAAATTAAAAAGCTTTCTATCTTTCAGGTCAGCAGCAAATTTTGTGTTTGGTATATAAGATGTATTTGTAAGAAAGTTACAAGCAATTTTAAAAAACTGCTTACTTAAGAGTATTTGAAAAGAACTGGAAAACAAATGATAAAGTTAATGCTTGGATGCAGAATACATATTTGCAGTGAATTATTTGAAGTAAATGGTCCTTTATTTGAAATACGAGCTTTGCAGTTCCTTTTAGCTCATCACTTCCATTTATTGAACCTTTAGTAACAGGTTAGACAAATTAATACAAATTTATTAATGTTATATGAATCTACATCACTGACTGTCAATTCTTAGGAAGGTGTTATATGTGCATCCCTTAGTTTCATATACTACAGTGAGATAATACAGGTATCTGAGGAGCTCAAGTTTAAATGAGGTGTTCACTAGATTCCTTTTGAAAATGAGAGTTGATAACAGCAATAAGGATTCTTATAAATTCCTCTGACTATGACATTAAAGAAACATTAAAATATTGTCACGGGTTGGAAAATGCTAAAGAGACAAAGTTCAAAATAAGTTGATAGCTTTGCGGTTCCGTGATGATAACCTTTAATAATTAATATTTCATATTTTATTTTTTAAGTTATTGATCCGTAACTTGGAAAAAAGTATGAAAGATTAAATGAGATGTAATTTGAACATGTATTGTAAATACTATAGTACCATTCTTTAAATCCAGATATTTTTGCCTAGAATGTAGTTTAGATCCCATTAGAAATCTTAAGAAAAATCCAGCAAACCAAAACAAAAAAAACCCCTCACACCTGAAATGGATGTAGTTACCTAAAAATAAATACATAGTAATGGAGAAATTTAGGTGATAAGGGTAATTAGAAGGCCCAAAAAACTTCTTATATGAAGGGAAAATTAAAAGCTTGACATTATACTCTCATAAAAAGAGGAGGGAGTCCAGTAGTTCTGAAGAACATTACATAGCAGATAGAGCAAACTAGGCACATGCCCACCATAACACAATGTTAAGGTGATGTTTAAAGCAGGAAATTTGAAGCTGATGTATAATTAAAGGCTTTTTGTTTTGTGTTTTGCTTTCCGACAATGGGTCTACATGAACCCATTCTCAGACTATCAGCTGGGGCCAGAAAGGTCCTTATATTTATTCTATTTTAGCAAAAAATGGGAATAATTAGAGAGGGTTTAAAAAATTTTTTTTAATCACTTTTTGTAACAGTGAAAATATCTCCTACCTAGCATGGCCTAAAGCTACTTTGTAATTCAATTTGGCTTCACACGCTCCCTGACCAAAAAAAAAACTGTTGCAAGTTTGTCTTACCAGGTAAATCTTTGTAAATCACTTCTTTGACTTTGGTTTGCAATTTATGTGTTTCAGACACTTCTGCATTTTTGGGGAAACCAGTCTCTGCTTTTGTTTTTGTACCTATCTGAAGTTGGTCTATGAGCAACATGTCTTTTCGGTTTTAAGAGGTTTTAGAATTGGAGCCTCAGTGCAATATTTAATACAGTTCTTCATGCCGTCAGATTACGTAGCCATATGAATTTAGTCTGGATCAAGTGCAGACGTGCAGCTGCATTTCTGCCAAATTTCCAGAAAACAGGGTTTGGAGTTGATTTCCAGTTTTTAGGTTGACTTTAAGCTATGATTGAAAGAACAAAGTATTTTGTCCATGTGAGTACCAGTTCTATACAAAGGTTTTTGCATGAGGTTAACCTATTAATACTTAAAAAAAAGCAAACACAAAACAAAACTGAACTGTAAGATAGAGCTTTTATTGAAGTAATTGATTCTTTTTTTTTTTTCCCCCCCATTGTGTTAGCTGTGCGTTTGATCACGCACCAAGAATTTGAAGGATGGTTGTTTCACTGGGCTGTGGTTAATGTTATAACCTGAGTAGAATTAGGCTTGTTCTGCCACTCCTGTGGCAGCTTTGGTTTGTGTCTGGCACACTCCTTTGAACACTGCCTGGGGATTCAGTTCTTATCTTGTATGAACTTAACAGTTCTGAATAGAAAGATTTTATAATTTGTTTCTGTTATCTTTGTTTTCTCTGTGATCAGAACACTGAAGGTTTTTTTGGAAGAAGGAAGCAACTGTAAAATATGGGTTATTTATACTTTATTATAATTTTTTCATACGCTTAGTGATCTAGTAAGATCTAATCTTCCTGACATTGTTTGATTCCACTAATATTCCTTCCTAAGCAGGCAACTGGAGAACAAAAAGAGGAGAGAGATCAGAATACCTATAATTTGTATATATGCTTTCTCCTTCAAAGTACTTGCTACCTTATAATAGGATTGGACTTTTTTCATGGATTTATGTATTAGACTAGTGAATCCATAGAAACCATATTAAAGACAATGTTGAGTCAGATGTTGTGGGGTAGACCTCAAATACAATATGGTGGCTGTGGGGTTGCAAATTATTGGCTTTAATGTACACTGCTAGCTAAATGTGTTTGTGTCGCAGTAGAGCTCTGTTGTAATAATTACATTTTCCCCCCTCCTCCCCTCTGACTCTGGGAAAACTCTTGTGTCATAGCCTGCAAAGAATGAAAGTGTGGTTTCCATGAGGGAGTGTATGTGGAAACAATCTCTTCCAGTAAGTTCTGCCACCAAAGTTCCCCTTGCAAAGGGTAGAACTTGTGATGGCCCATGGTTGGTTGATTATTTCACCTAATACCTGGTTTTTGACTTGCCTTTCTTTATGTCAGTCTGCCCGGTTGTTCTGAAGTATTTCATAAGAATGTGCAAGCATTCCATTTGTAGATATCATTTGTACTCCTTTCTTTCCATATTCCTGAATAACTGAAAGACTTGATTTTTGAAAAAATATTCATCTTTATAATTTATGGATATTTGAGGCTTATTTTATGGTTTTGCTGCTTATTTAAAAGTTCTTCATGGTCTTCCGTCAGTCCTCTAAGAAGGAAATTGAGTATTGTACAACATGATGAGATACTACTGAATTACAGTAAAAACATCCAATCCCAGAATATTGTATTCAATAACTTAAAAAGTACCTATTAATATTGCAATAAGAAAATGAAGTGGTCAGAAAGTGAAATTGTAAGGTTCTTTGTTTTACTTTTTAGACTATATAAATGGAGGAGAATTGTTTACTCACCTTTCACACAGAGAGAGATTCTCAGAAAATGAAGTGCAAATATACATTGGGGAAATTGTTCTGGCACTTGAGCATCTCCACAAGGTAAAGTAACTATTCTAGAGCTGATTTTGTGGAACTGCGGCTGTATTCCTTTCACATCATATAAAGTTATTAAGGAGAACTATTTTTTTAGATTGTTCTAAATTCAAAGTAACTTAATCTAGCAATGGGATGTTAGTTGTATAATTAGAAATACTTCCCAATGAAGTATCTATTCATGTGCACCAGATTAAGGCTACAAGTTTTTGTCTGCAGTGTGAAGTGGTGTTCTTGACAAATGATCGTTAATTTTTAGTAATCCTCATGAAGTGGCTTATGTCTGCAAAACTGATTTGTAGTCAACATGAACAGTGTTTGGATTGCATTATTGTTCAGTTGTCCTTGGTTTTGATACAATTAAACAGTAGAGGTCTCAAATTCTGGCCCAATTGTAGACATGAAAAATATCATTTTTCAGAGGTAATTAAGTAGATTTGTAGATTATTACAAAACATGCATGTGCAGTGTAGAACATACTACAGAAGCATCCATTTTCATTCTTAATGAAAGCGGAACTGAGTTTTGCACTCAAACAGCAAGTATTCAGTCACTTTTAAAGGGCATACTACATCATTTGAATAAAAATTTTAAGACCTTAATGCACAGCATAATTATTAAGAGTTTTTAAGTCTCTCAAAGTTATTTCTTCAAAGGCATTTTAAAATTGTCCTTTTTGAGGTGCAACTTTCAGGTGTCAGATTACCTTAATGATGGGAAGTTTGCTAGCTTCATATTTAAATGCATTCAGCAATGTCTCCTTGATGTGGTTACACTGATTTGGAAATACTTTTTTCTTATATTCTCTTTGCAGTTGGGGATTATATATCGGGATATAAAACTTGAGAATATTCTCCTTGATTCTGATGGCCACGTGGTGCTGACAGACTTTGGTCTCAGTAAGGAGTTTCTTACTGATGAGGTGAGTATTCAAACCTCCAGTAACTGTGGACAGAATCCAGCAAGAATACAAAGTCAGATTCTGTCTCATTGAAATCATGAACACATTTGAGAGGGGAGAAAAACTGCGTTCTAGACTCTTACTTCACAGAAAAAATCTAGTAGTCTGTTTTACTGGGTTTTGAGCTTTCAGTTGATTGGTCTCTGGCCTTCCAGTGTTGTCAGATGCTTTTGTCTGTTCTAGTTTTCCCTGAAATGCCTTCATGCTCCCTCCTGCTGCCCTTTAAGTGATAAAGGAGAGATCCCCATAAATCTGAAAAGCCACTTACATTATTATTTTCAGATGCCTTTTTAAAAACTCTTGACTGTGCTAATATTTTGCAGTGACTAGGCAAATGGTATGCTATGACTCTTCTTTATGCTAATAATAATTAATGTATTATTATCTCGTCTCTTTCTCGTGTCTTTGTGTCACTTTTGATAAGCTTAATTGCAAGCTTTTAGGATAAAAGCTTATCTCTTATTAAATATGTGCATAGTACCTACCATAGTGATCTCTGACTGTTGATGTTAGTTGTTCATTATTTGTAAGGTACAGTTCTTAGCTCCAAATACTCCTTTTAGATTTCAGAGAGTCAAAATTGTGCAGGATTTTTCTTCTGAGAGAATTGAAAAATGGCTATTTTTTGGCTTTCACTTTAGATACCAGAGGTACTGAAATTTGGGACTGCAGATCTAAAAGTCTTTGTTAGAAGCAGCAGAGGGGTTTTCTAAAAATAACTGGTAGTTTCCTCTAGAATATTTGCATTTCAAATGGAGTCTGGTAGGATTTGGGAGGTACCATTTTAAAGGATATGAAATGTTACTTCCTGAAGCAGGGAAATAATGCATATAATGTCAGTATATTCCTTTTAAATTATAGCATGAAGCCAAGGGATTAGCAGCAGGTTGCCAGGCCAGTGCAGGAGGAGAAATAGAGAGAGATGTAGTTTTGAGCAGTAAAAAATCATAGTAAAATGTGTGGCTAGGGAGAGTAGGACCTGCTTAGAGCTGTGAGAGAAGCTGTGCTGGGCACAAAAGAGAAAGTAAAGAACGGTATTACTGAACTGATGGCAGAGAAGAGGAACAGTCCTCCAGCCTTTGAGCCAAAGTTGAATGAAACTGAAATCTTCCCTGTGATAAGAATGTCATAATGAATCAGGACCTTCTCTAAGTCTCAAAACAGATGGTTTTAGCAGCTATACCCATTTCTCATCTGTGCTCACCTTTGGGATATCATTTACAAGCAGTGCAAGGAAAGGGGAGGACTTCGATAAGCATCAGAGATGTCTGTCTGCTTTTCTCACGCTCTGAATCGGATTCTTCTTTCTCCAGTCATTAAATAAAGCAGTCTTACTGCTTGGTCATTTAATGCTGGTTCCTCTGTCTGTAATCCATTCTGGTTTTGGTATACACCTCAGAAATATCTTCATTTATCCATTTTTTTTCTTCATATTCTCCTTCACATTTTATATTTGCCTTCCGTATCAAAAAAGCTCAAGTTGTCTAGTGTTTCTTTTAAGGAAAAAAGTAATTGCAATGATATTGTTTGCTTTCAAAAATCTAAAAAATTGTCTGCACTTCTACAGTGTTCATGTGTGCCGCTGTAATTTAGCTATTGAGCCTAAACATGATTAGAATGACTCATTTACATGTAGAAATTGTAAATATGAAATGTAAATTTCATATTGTACTCTCTGTAGACAATTCAGCTATTAGAACACTTACTGTTTACATTACAAAAGATACTTAAGTTTCTGAACAATCATAGTAACGAGAGGTAAAATTTGCCTGTATAACTACATAGCTTTATCTCTGTTTTCATGCTCATTGAGCAGCAGTCTTTCATCTGACTTACACAGTTGTGTAACTTGATTTAAGAGTGTCGCATTTGCAATTTAATCAGAGCAGTATGCTTTCCATTCTACCCCTTTCTTCACACTTCTTTCTTGGCCCATCCTGCTTCTTAAAAGAACTTTGACGTTAAAATATTCTGTTTACAGAAGTGGAATTTATTCTCTTTGGATTGTATTTTCTGAAACCAGATATACTTAGGTTATTAAGAATGTGTAAAAATTATCAGCAATTATAAGCATGTAATATGTTTAGAATTCTTATCAGAGAGAATTCTTTACCATGTATTTACAAATTTTGGATGATTTTGTAGTTAGGGATACTTGCTAGGAAACATCATAGTGCAACGTTTTCATTATCCCTGCTTTAATCTGATGGGTGTTAAATATTTCCAGGTACCTGAGCAAATATAGAATATTACAGAAGTTGCTTTATAATAAGAGTGCAGTATTTCTTGAGTATAATAACTATAGCAGGTTAATTGACTATTCAACAATGAAGAGATGGGAAGCTGCTTTTCCTAAGCACTGTTTGAGTGAAAGGAAGCAAATGCATGTGACTTCTAGGAAAACAGAAACCTATTGATTTCTGCCATGCAGTTACTGAGGCATGAGTGTGAAGAATGCATTGTCAAGTATCCTCTTTCTTTTACAATTATTATGTGAAAGTGCTTATAACATGCAAGAATTGCAAATTCAAGGTGAAACGAGTGTGGTTTTAAGAGCTCCAAAGCATTTTATACTACTGTTTTGCTAAAAACTGAAATTTGTCTTGTACAAGTGAAATGACAGTCTGGTTTTATCTTGTTTTATCTTTAAAATCAGGTCCATAGGCTTGCATTTGCATGCAAAAAGAAGAAATAACCCAACTGGAATAAAGTAGCTGAATAAAAATGAATTTTCAGATAGGACAGTATCACGAGGTATTTAGGTATGAAATGACCACTCATATTCGAATTTGATTTAATATGTCATGAAGACCTACAGTTTGACTAGCCTAACAATAGATTGAGGTTAGATAAGGTATTAAGGGATTGAAATGAGTAGTACCTTTTTAGTATTTTTTATAGCATTTGCATTCTTAGCTCTGTAATGAATTTAAGGCTAGTCTCTCTGATTTTTAACTCTCAACTGAATTGCAAAGAAAATCAGGGTAAAAAGCACACTTTTTAGCCTTTTTCTTTCTTGCATCTCAGTTGAGTTCCCGTATATCTGGGATGTAGAATATATTTGCACATTACATTAATATAAATTATTATTGGGGTCTGGGGGAACTGACAGGACTGACAGACTCTATTGAAACTTCTACAACACTATTTTGTTCATTGCATAAGTGCAATCACTTCAGTGTTGCAAGCCTCTTGAAAGAAATTGTGTTGCATTTACCATTAAAAAAACCCCTAAAACACCTAAGTTTTTGGGGTTTTTTTGACGTGCTATTTCTTGTGTAGCATTCTTATCTTCTGGGTTTGTGGTTTAGGCATATTTTTATCTTTTTATCTCATAGCTCTACGTGTGTGCAGGAATTGTTTTGATTTGGTTAATGTCAGTTTAACCTAGTCATCAGGTCTTGTCTTCATTTTATTGTTTATTGTTAAAATGCTGCTTTATTTTTTTTAAATCTTTTTTTTTCCTCTCACATTTCCTTTAGTTCTGTAACTACACTAAAAATCATACTTGGTATATATGGAGATCATTACGTCTTAGGCAAAATAATCTGAACACATTCTTTGAATTGTAGTAGCAGTCTATTCTATTGGACCATGCATAACAATTAACATTTTTTTCTTGTTAATTAAATCCCACAAAGTACACTTTCTTCTGGAGTACAGCAAAACAATCGATTCTTCTGCATTGGTACACATCTTCTGCATTAGCTTAAATTTGTTTTGAAGTTTTTGTGTTTGCTTAATGAAGTTTAAAAAACTTACGTAGCAAATACTGAATGTTGTCAGTTGTCAAACAATTTATCTGAGAGCATACAAATGCCTTAGTAATAATATAAGAGTAGATATTCTGTATGAAGGATGATTGAATTGTAATCGAAGTCAGCTGGATGGATATCTGCATATTTGATGTGTAGAATGAATAGTTCAGATACATCATTGTTTTCCCATCTGAAAATCTCTTAATCAGAGTTGCAAATTTATAGAGTTGCAAAGTTATAACTGTCAGATGCTTTTCACTGTTGAATTGTTGTTTGTTTTAATTTATTAGCTGGTTGAGTGAACATTTTGTTCTCAAAAGAAAATTAGTATGTAATTTTAAAAGATTTTTAAAGGAAATTTCATTAAGGGGGGGGGGGGGTAGCGGAATTTTTATTAGGGGGGGGGGGGGGAAGTGGTTACTCCGTGATGGATTTTGGTAGATAAAGTAGGAAGAGATCCATCCACATTCTCTCAGCAGTTTAAAGGTAGTCCAGAACAGAGGCAAGCAGAAGGAACAGTGGGGAAAGTGACTACAATTTGACTTTTGTTTCGTGTTGTTTGAACTGTCATCTCACATGAGTGACCTGGTAGATTAGTTGTGCATTTTTAAACGACCCTTTATAATTGTGTAATTAAAGTAAAAAATGTCTGATCAAAATTTGATAGTGCATCCTCTGAACATTGAGCATTCCCTTGCAAAGGTGAGTTAGAATAATTCATACTGCAGATGACTGTTACTATATCTGCTTGTGTTGTAGTTAAACAATTGTTTAGTCATGTAGACTTAGGACAGTTAAAAGGAGTATATTTACATTTCTGCAAAGAGGAAAAAGTAAGAACTGAACAGTGCAGTTAGTCCACAGAAGTTAACATTGGTTGTAGATCTGTCTGGACAATTAGTCATCATTTCCCTTATTTTGGAAAAGGAAATGAAACAATGGCAATTTTTTTTCTTTAATTGGTGTACTTCTGTTGGTGTTTTAAGTGTCCTGAAATTGAATGGTGTAGAACCTACCAAACACTCTAAAGGCACATAACTGAAGGGTAGGACTCATTCAATTGCTAACTCAGGTCATCAATAATCCGATGACTGTTCGTGCCTTAGCTCAGGAAGTATTCCTTTTTCAGTGCTTATCACGAAGATGATTGTGTTTTCTCACTGTGGAGCAGTAACGCAGAAGACTGGAGCACAAAATACATTC